CCTTCCTCCTTCAGGAGCAAAATGTGTGTGGCTGAGGAAGGAGGTGGGGGGGCATGGCGGCAGGAGCCAAGAAGGGGACACCCCCCACACACAGGGTGAGAAGCCAGAGCTGACCGGCAGAGGCACCTGCAGAGGGACCTGGCTGCAGGCGCCTCCCGCCCTGAGCACACACTCCTGGGCCAGGGCATGTGGGGGAGCCCTGGGGCAGAGGGGAGGCTGAGGAAGGACAAGCAGAAGCGTCGGACTCAACACGCTATTTCTCTCCCCCTGCTCCCAACTCCAGTTCTGCCGGCAAACTGGGAATGGGTCTTGTCCAGCCCCTCTGGAGGATGGTCAGGCAGGGAGATATCCTTTGGGGGTGTAGACAGGGAAAAGAGGCGCCCACTGGGTTCTCCCAGGTGGAAGGTTCTCGACCCCTGATCTAACGGGCGCTCCCTTTGCAGATCCCTCCAACGGCCTGGCCCTAGCGCAGGCTCCCTCCTCTCGGTTCTCGGTTCTTACCCCGGGCAGGGCAGACTCTGTGGACGCTCTGCCAGATGGGACGCAGGCGAATCCCTGTCCCTCCGCCACATTCTCAGCTCAGCCTCAGCCCTAGCCTGTACGCCTGGGGTCAGGACTGGCACAAATGATGCTCGGATCACCTGGAAGGTCACCTTCAAGCCTCTCCTTCTTTACACCAAACAGGATTTTCCTGTCAGCCGTTTTGGGCTTCCTGGGGCCCCTCTCCAGCTGTGTCCCAGCCACTGGCCGGGCTCAGAAAGGACGGACTCCCTAGAAGAGCCTGCCTTGTGGTTGAACTGACGCTCTGTCTTCCACGACTTCCCCAGACCAGAGGTGGGGAAGGGGATTTGACAGGGATGGTTTTCTCTGTGACACTTCTCCTTGCGACATTTCCTTTCCCTGTCCCCTCGGCTTTATGGCCTCTTGCAGAATGATCTCAGAGTTAGAAGTCCAGGACAGTGCGTCTGACCCTGGGTACAAGAAGGGGACCCCTCCCAGCTGCCTTAGGTGGAGGCATGGTTGGAGAGCCTCGGGGACACCGTGACGGCGGTGCTGGGAGTGGGAGGTGGCGTGCCAATGACTCGGAGTCGCTACACGTGTTTGCCGTGTGCTCCGGCTGCCGAGTCCTGACTGCTCCGGCAAAGCAGACGTGGCTTCCCGTGTCACTCCGGGAAGGCTTGGCGGGCGAGGATAAAGGCCACACTGAGGTCCATGCTGCAAGGAAGCCCTTTGTCTCAGGCCCAGGAATCCCATGCCTCGCCAGCACGCCTAAAAGTAACAGAACGACAGCTTAGCAGCTCGCTGGGCCACCTCGACAGCAGACTTGCAAATAGGGTAAAATCCCACATCCTGAGCTGTTTCTGCTCCTTCCTCACCTCCTGCCTTCTGAGAAAACTAGGCCATGGACACCTCGCTAGCTGTTAATTATTATGATTACTATTTGGCTAATAGTGATAATTAACCAAGATGGGGAGCACCTTACAGTTACAGAGCAGTCTACGCTCAGGTTAACGTCACCAGCCCCACGTCACGAGGAGACTGAGGCTCAGCGAGGCTTGGCAACACCCAAGGGCATTCAGCCA